AGAGAGAGAGAGAGAGAGAGAGAGAGAGAGAGAGAGGACCAAAGTCACGAGAAGGCGAGGACACTCAGCTCAAATTGTGGCTCCTGCAAAGGGCGCAGGCAGGCACTACCTACATGCCAGGCGAGGGCCATCCGTTGGACTTCTTCGGCATTCCGTTTTTCGGTGCCAAGGAAAATAGTTCGCAGCAACACGGTTCCAGCTCCTACTGATCCGCGTCGAAATGGCCCCCGTTCGGTGCGCGCCAGCACGATGGCACTCGTGAAGTTCCGCTGTGTTCTGCGCGCTGTTTTTCCCACCACCCCTCTGCCGGTTTTACAAGGCCCCAGCCAAGCGTAGGGCTACTGCTCATGTCACCACGGCATCACCGTCCCGACCTGGTGGCTCTACAACTGCAAGTGCGTTTGGCATTGCCGGCGTCGCGGAGCAGGCCATCCCTTGGATGTAACATCGTAACCGAATGAATACTCCTGATGTTTTGGAAGAGGTTTTAGTGGGAAACAAGTCGCTGGGGAGCTACTAGCGTCCATGTTTGCAACGCGGGCTCTCACAAAGACGACGCGGATATGGGTGGGAGGTACATTCCTTGCATTCTTCATGTTGTATGATTCACTTTCACGAGGTGTACGAGTGAGTGGAACCGCGTACGCCTTCCATCACGTTTAGACTCGTCTCGTGTGTTTTTCGTCTGCAAAAAGTGCCCCCAGAGTGCGAGATAGGGCCTGCTTGGCGTACCAAACTTTTCTGCTCTGTAGCTGAGCGAAGAGGGACGCGACCTGCAGGGGGCGATTAGGCGCCATTGCCTCTCGGTGTTGGTCCCTCGTTGCTTGGCCTGATCCATTCCGATCGCGCACGTTGGTTCGCTTCGTTCAGGGGAGCCGGGTACCGGTATTTTCGCCTCTCCTTGTTAAGGATGGGGAACCGCAATGAATGATCACTCGGATTGCTCGCAGGCTGGTTCGAGGTTATTGGTCGCCATCACCTTTGTATTAGAACCAGAGTAAGTGCTTCCATGTTGGACGCTCTGCAATTTACCATGTCGTCGGTGCCAGGTCGCATTGACTACGTTACACCAGCCCAGGTGGGTCACATTGGCTAACTTACATGAACACATTGGGTGCTGTGTCTCAGTAGCCGCCCCAGGTTCATGAAAACTATTTTTTGCTGCTGGGCGAGGGAGAATAACCCTTTTGTGGAATATGTGATTCGATCTACGACTGCTTGGATTATGTTCCTCTTTTTGGCTTTGTGCGCGTCGCCATATCGCTGGGGCCGATGTGAGGAGTGCGGGACATTTGGAAGGAATGCCTTCGTCTTGCTTGCAATGGCTACATCAACGGTCATCTCTATTTAGCAAGAAAACTGCGAGCACTAATGTTTGTCACGACACCGAAGGTCCGGTGCGGAAGGGTGCCTTTTCTCCCTTTGGTGTTTGGTAGCCGCGTAGATAGCTTGTTACTTTGATACGTTTCAGGATGAAGACCGGTGTTATTGGAGTAGGCGGTATTGGCTTGTGGTTGATTAAAACGAAGACGGAGAACATATGAGAGGGGTATTTCTTTCGCCGTGTGTTTTTGGCCAACCACAGCGGTTAATTTGGTTTTGCTAGATGCAGGATGCCAAGTGCTAGGTTGCCTTCTAGGAGGCCTAGAAAAAATCAAGGCTTTTTTTTTGGGCAACGGGTTGAGTTTCCACGCGACCGGCTACGGCATCACGAAGCGCGCGTTGGCAGACGTAGACTATGTGCTGATGCATCGTGCTTTGGTGAACGAGGTGCTTCTTCTTGTGGCGGTCCCCTGAAAAGCCCCCAAATGGGCAAGAAATCTCCTGACACACGCGCGTGACCGGCGAAAGGCAAGAACGTATGTCTACAATACAAACGACCTTATCCTTCACTGCTACCAAGTTATACTGGCTATATCAGGGGGCGAACTGCAACAGCCCATTGCAAGCAACCATGCCATCGAGGAAGCTTCCACGATGCTAGTCCAACCTTGCTTGGACGCCTATTCGGCCTTCATATTTACCGACATTAACAAAAGTGGAGGCAAGGAAGGCCCATCGCTAGACCAACCGAACCCCAAATGGACGACTCTAGAATGGTACAATGGCCAAGTCCGTTCCGTCAGTAACATTCGCTGGCATACAACACTCCCAACGAAGGCGCGTGTTTGAACCTCCGAGTGAAATGCTCGTCTCTTTTGATTGTCGTGCCGTGCGGCCCCCCGTATATTTGGCAATCTTCGCACCTCGGGCAACCGCCTGTCGTTCTGCGGCCATTAACTATCGCACCCATGTGATGATCAGAGTGCCGTGGACGGGCTCGGAGGTGCCAAGCCTGTTTGAATATTGTGCACATGTTGCCCAGCTGTCCGTATATCCTACACCGGCTGCTTGCCGAATGTCTATTATTTGCAATGCACATACCACGGGTTCTTGGAGCTGTTCGTTCCCTCCTAACCGTTCCCTCCTACCGCCCCGTTTCCACTCTCTTGTCTCAGAATAGCCTCACTTTGGTTAGGCATTGCGGTCGGTGTTTTTTCTCACCTTGACGTAGCCCGTAATATACATGCACATGGAACAGGTGTACTGCGAACCGAGTGTTCTACAATCATCCCCACCTAATAATCTATGAAAGCTGTGTGTAATGTGTGTCCCCCTCTCCAATGTTGCCACATTATTACGTTGCGCTGGGTTGCCGCCATCATTGATTTCCGCCTCAAGTCAGACGCGCAGAATTGAACGTAGTTCTAGGTGCGTAGAGTAAACCGCCCAATTAACGAATGCTTAAGCCAACCCTCGCGCCAACAGCTCATTCTCGGGCGTGAAAAGGATTATGAAATATTTGTAAATAGATATCGGACGATAGGATATGACGTAGGCTACCTCTCTATTAAAAAAAAAAAAAGTCGTTCGTGTCAATGAGATAGAGCTGATGCAGTGCATTCCGTTGTTTAGCGAAAAATGTAGGAAAACACCCCCCCCCCAATTAACGAACACTTCAGCTTTGTTGCTGATTTCGCGCGTTCTGAAGCGTTTCATGATCTTTTTATTGTGTAGATACGTCTATTGCAACACATATCCATCACAGAAAAAAAAATGGAATCGATCCTTGCCCGGGGACAAAATCCTCACATCCCCGGGTTTTCCGGCTGAAATCGGGGACGGATTTTACCCCATTTTTGACCGTGCGGCGGTGCTGCGCACATGAAAA